CTTTTTTTTTCCTTAAGATTTTATTTATTTATTTGACAGGCAGATCACAAGTAGGCAGAGAGGAAGGCAGTGGGGGAGGGAGCAGGCTCCCTACTGAGCAGAATGCCCAATGTGGGGCTCGATCCCAGGACCCTGGGACCATGACCTGAGCCGAAGGCAGAGGCTTTAACCCATTGATCCACCCAGGCACCCCATTACCTCTACATTTCTATTACCCTTTCCAACTGTGCCATTTATCTGTCATTTACTGTGTGCTGCCTTGAGTCATCCTTCTGCACCTGATACTTGAGGACAGGGTCTATGGCATTCTTCATTGCTCTTCACCAAACAGTCCATACTCCTCACCTCTGCACATGGCGGAACTTCCCAGCCCCTGGTGGTTGGGGGAGAGCAGCCATGTGACTGGTTCTAGCTAACAGGTAGTGAGCAGAAGTGAATGTCATTTAGCACATCCAGTGGACTATTAGTTGCCCAACCCGCTAGAGGTTCTTTTGCTTGTTGCCCGTGACCAGCTAAGTTCCAGATAGTGACTTTTCTGTTGGCCTGGATGCAGGAACAAAAATGATACTGAGCTGGGGCAGAGCTCTCAGCCAACCTGCCACAGATTTAGAGCAGCGTGAGGAGAAACCTGTTATTTTAAGACCATGGGATTTGGAGACTGTTTATTGCCGCAGCATGACCTGGCCCAGTCCGACTAATAAGGGGTCAATGTGTGTCATCATCTTTGCTTCCCCAGTGCTCCCAGTGATGTGGCACTTAATACCAACTGCTAAATAAAGGATTTCCTGTCTCCCCCACTGGAGTAGGAAACATCCATATATCTATTTGTCCTCCCTAGAGCACCTGCCCCAGGATTGTGAACATAGCAGGTGCTTAGCAAGACCCATGGATTAATTTGTATATTTAAAAGTCCCAAGATGCAGGGCACCTGGGTGGTTCAATCAGTTAAGTGTCTGACTTTTGCTCAGGTCATGATCTCAGGGCCCTTGGACTGAGGCCTGCACCAGGCTCCCCGCTTAGCAGGGAGTCTGCTTGTCCCCCCCTCTCTCTGCCCTTCTCCCTGATTGTGCTCATGCTTGTGTGCACGCATGCTCTCTCTCTCTCTCTCTCAAAAAAAATAAATAAATAAATAAACTATTTAAGAAAAAAAAAAAAAAGTCCCAAGATGCAGCTCAACGTAACAGCCAAAGACGTGGTATGTGATGTTCCTTACCATACGGTGCTTGAGTGAGTGGGATGCAGGGTCAAAGGAACTGAGGAAAGATGGGCAGTAGGCCATCTGCCTGCATCTGCCTTTAAGCTCTATGGGGTTACCTCTGATTCTTATACCTCTTTGTAGGGTACGAGTGAAGCTTGGTCTCTGGGTCATAGCAACAGAGTTCAGAGCAGAGTCAAGGCCAACATAAGACAGGGCAGGCCAGACATAGGCCCGCAACCAGAGGGAGGAACTAGGGTGGCGTTAGGTGTGGGGCTGGGACACAGGTTGGGGGTAGGCCAGGCAGGGCCAACAGAACTCTGGAAGGTTTTCAGTGTCATTTTGTTGCTGCATATTCCATCACATAGCCCAGGTAGTTGAATTCTGTTCCACAGGGCATGTGTGGAATGGATGACAGTCCCTGACCAGGCCGACCTTTGCAGAAGCCATTAACATTCTATAAATGGCATCCACTAGCACAGCAACAAGGACATGAATATTGATATGCTAGTCTAAGGTTCTGGCACCCCATCTCTGCTTCCTTTAATCCATCACAACAATATCCACAGGCTGTTTCTTTTTGATTAGAGGAAATCATCTTCAGGCGTGGATCTTCTATTGCTCCAACATCCTGGTTTGGGGGTTAGTTTTCTGGAGGGAAACTGCAGAAGAGTAACCTATCCATCCCTGCAAAATTGCCTTTTTAAGGTATTAACTCTAGGTATGCTGTTCCCGACCTTAGAATGATCAGTGTCTCATGAGGAAAAAATTCAAACTCATTTACAGGCTCCCCAGAGTCTTAATGATCCCATTCAACCTACCTAACCTCACCTCATCTCCTCTTCCTGCCTGCCAACATGCCAGGTCCATCTGATGGCTGACTCATCCCACACAGCTGTGCTCTTACCTACTTGTGCTCTGCATACCCTGTTCCCATTGCCTCCAGTGTCCTTCCCTCTCCTCTTTGCCTATTGGAAAGTCTAGACTGATGGGTGATGCCTTCCCAGGCAAACCCAGGCAGGGGGTGAGGCTGCCTTTGTGCTGTCACTCTCAGAGAGGCTGGAGCACCCCTACATCTACTGTAGTACTTAATCATGTGGCCTTGGGAGCTCTTGCTCAATCAGTCCTTTTCCCCAAGAGCTTAATTTTTAAAGCACCCTCTTGGTCATCTTTGTTCAGTTTTGAACAATTCATTCTTCCTTTCCCTCACTCAAAGCTCACAAAATAACTAGGCAGTAGTTGGAATCCAGGGGACATCTTACTCAATGTCAATGCCAGTCTCTCTGCTGTCCTTCAGAACTGCATACAGAGGCCAAGAGGAGGATCTAGTAGGCAAAGATTATTGATTGGAATTTTACTTTTTAAACTTTCCCACCTGTAAGGGCTTGTTTTTCTTTTCATGTGAATCTGGAAACAAGCTCACATCTGGCATCTCCGTGGTGATCCTGGAGAACAGAGATTTTTGTTCAGCCAAGCCAGAGAGTAAGAAGGTGAGAGATTTATTCAGAAATAAGGATGTAATAGGAGCAGGAAATTAGGAATGTTTGTAATGTAAAGTACCAGCATTCTCCCTTTTTATTTAAATATTCATTCAGTACAACACAGGCAGTTTGGCGAGATCTTTTCACCACTCCACCCCCCCACCCCTTTTTAGACTTAGAATTAAAAGGCAGGCACTTGTGATGAGCACGGGGTGTTGAATGGAAGTGTTGAATCACTATACTGTATACCTGAAACAAAGATTACACTGTATGCTAACTGGAATTTAAATAAAAACTTACAAAATGGTTAAGACCCCCCCAAAAAGAAGGTGAGGTTACACTGGTGTTGGTCACATCTGAGAAATGCAGCCTGATTGTTCACATGGTGTAACAGACAGCCTGCTAAGAGGCAGAGGCTGTTCTCCTGTAACCATACTGGGTCACAAGGAAGTGGTATTAGAAGTTTGTAGGTTATTGGTTTTAAGAATACCTAACCACTGAGATGGCAGCAGGCCCTATTTATTTATATATATCTGGGAAGTCTTGTCTGGGGAGAGATGGAATATGGTATCACGCAAAAAGTTCAAGTTCAGCATGCCCTTAATTCTAAACCTATTTCCTATATAACACATCGAAGAGGAGGGATTTTGGTCAATGTTTTCCAGTCTTGTGTACTTCTCTGTTTGCATGGTAATCTTACCCAGGGAAAGAGTACAGAGATGGCCTGAAACACTTAACGGATCCCTAAATTCATGAAGTCCTTGCCTTTCTAGACTCCTCAACAGGGCTGGGGCTAGGGTGAGGCAAATGGAGCACTCATCTCAGGTACAGAATTTCAGAGGTGCCAATCAAGTCGGTAATATAAGTGATATTTTTTTTTATTTTTTTTTTATTTTTTTTTTTTTAAGATTTTATTTATTTTATTTGACAGACAGAGATCACAAGTAGGCAGAGAGGCAGGCAGAGAGAGAGAGAGGAGGAAGCAGGCTCCCTGCCGAGCAGAGAGCCCGATGTGGGGCTCGATCCCAGGACCCCGGGATCATGACCTGAGCCGAAGGCAGAGGCTTTAACCCACTGAGCCACCCAGGCGCCCCTATAAGTGATATTTTAATAAAACATTTAAAATTATTTAAATTTTGAATATGTTCATTTTACGTTATTTTTGATTTTTTAAAAATATTGCATTAAAGTATTACTCATTTTGATTACTGTGCTCATTGGTACCCCTTAAATTTTGCCTCTCTGTCAAGTATTTCAGCTCTATTAGTGGCTCTGCTTCCCAAATGAATTTTCACAAGACCTAGCCCTATTTGCCATTGCCTTCCATCACATGGCCCCTGAAGAGGGAAGCAAGTTTAATAAGAATAGAATGGTGGAAAAAATTCTGATGATCAAAGACATAAAAACTGAACAGCAGTAAGATGTCCCACCAGCACCAGCGCTTTGTCCAACTGACAGATTCCAAAACACACCTACAGCTGGCGGGAGTAACCATATAGGGCATTACTTTCGTATCCTGACTTTCTGCACGCGGAAGAGCTCAGTTGTCCCCAAGACTGCATTTTAGCACTCTCTACCCAGCTGTCCCATTCGACAGGGAGGGCTGGGAGAAACGATAGGATCAGGGAGAGCAGGACCAGCAGGCCTTAGGCGAGGATCACCCCGGGACGTTTTTATCCTTTTTGCGACCTGTGTGCTGCGCTTGGTATCCAGTTGTTTCAGGGGACTGCCTCCTTCCTCGCCTTTAATCCGTTTTAAGCCTTTAAGCCACAGGCTGTGATAACCTTTTCCATTGAGAAAATGTAATCAAGAGGGGGTTTTTAAATTTTGGTCTACACTAACCAAACCTGCCAGATAAATACTTCGTTTATCACGATTCCTACAAAGTCCCCGACTTGGCCGGGCACGCGGGGAAGTGCCGACGTTTGCTTTTTTATACTGCGTCCTGCTCGCTCGCAGGTTGGGGGACATGACCTCTTCCCAGCCCAGTTCTACAGCCGCAACAGCCAGGGCCGCGCCCAGGGCCTCCGCGCTCTCCGCCCCGCCCTCCCAGGTTCGCGTCCCCTGGCGCGGGGCCGTCCCTTGCCGCGCAGCCTACCCCGTCCCCGGCTCCCCGCGGAGGAAATTCTTCCCCAGCAGCCCAGGGCTCGCCTCACGTGATCAGCCGCCGCGGCTTCCAGCGAGAGTTTAAAGGTTATGGAGGAAATTAGCGCGGACACAGTCCCTCGCCCCCCAGAAGGCGCGCCCCGTTTTCCCGCAGCTCGGACGGCCGCTGTCAGCGCGCTGATCAGAACCATGTCCCCCAAAAAGGCACAGACGAGGTCCAGAGTAAATATGAAGTCACTTTGTAAAAAACAAACAAAGACAAATAGAGCCGAGGTTCTACTAAGCTTTCACTTGTCAACAAGTTCTCGCGGCCCGAGAAGTCCAGGATACATCCCAAAGGGGGAGAACGGCCCTAAAGCAAGGGAGGAGAGAAAGAGTGTTTAAAAACTCACACACCGAGGCTCGCACGCCCCTCCCTTTCTCCCCTCCCCCACCGCGGCGGAGCAGAGCGTCTCCAGACGGAATGACGGACAGACGGGCCAATACTCCCCCGGCTGCTCCCGCGGGCCTCTGTCGGAGTGGGGTTGGGGCTGGGGGAGGGTCCCGAGTCTCCTCCCGCAGGGCGGCCCCCCCGCCACTCCCCCACCCCTCCCTGCTCTACGAGACGGTTTTGGCCGAGGAGTCCCGAGGAAGCTGCGCGGTCCGCGGGTCTCCCCGTGCAGACCGGAGACGAGGTGTCCGCAGCCCGCAGCAAACGCATCACGGCCCGCAAAGCCGCTACTCCCGGGGGTTCCGCGCAGGTCCCCGCTCGGCTCCCCCGCCTGCCGCCGCGACCGGCAGGCTCGCCCTCTCTGCGGCGTCCTCTCCTCGGCTCACTTTTCCCGTATTGCTCCCCCAACAGGCAAAACTTTCTATTTCCCCAAACACAGGAGCGCGCGCGCGCGTGCACACACATACACACATACACACGCGCGCACACACACATACATACACACACACACACACACACACACACACACACTGACGTCTTTTGCGCATTTCCTGCATTAGAGGGAGGGAGACTCGCACACCGACCGAGGGCGAAAGACCAAGGGGAAGACCGAGGGGGAGAGCGGGCGGGCGGGCGGGCGGGCGGCGAACGAGCGGTAGCCGAGAGCGGGGACGCGGGGAGCGCGGCGGGCTGGCGCCGGCGCCCGGGAGGTGGGGCCGCGCCGAGTCGCAGTCCGGGCCCCGCCGCCGCCGCGCTGCGCACCGCCCGGTGCCGGCCTGCGCCCCGAGCCCGAGCGGCGGCCACCCCGACTCCCGAGCCCGCGCGGATGTGAGATTCCAGGCTCCTGGCGCCTCCCGATCGCCGACCGCCGCAACCGCGCGGCTTCGCCCAAGAGGAGGCGGCCGGGCTGGCTGTGTGGCTTGTGGATTTTTAAAAATTTGGCTCCGAGGAGGACCATTTCCTCTCGACATGCATCCCTCCGGATAGACTGAACATCCCTCGATCCATCCCCCGCCCCGCGCGGTTGGAGGCAGGCGCTGGGTGTGCGAAGAGGATCCGGGTTGAAATCTGCGCCCCCGGTTCTCGTCCGCGCCCCGTCCCACATCCCCCTCCCCCTCCCGGAGTCGAAATTTCCCGGGGATTATGTTTCGGAAAGGTAGGTAAGCGCCGGGTGCGGCGCCCGCCTCCCCGCAGCCCGGACCGGGAGAGCCAGCGAGGTGGCGACACAGCCCCCGCGGCTTGCAGCGAAGCCGACAGCTCGTCTCCTCTTCTGGAGGTGCTGCTGGTGGAAGGGGGGGAGAGACTTGCTCCAAACACGGACGTCCCCCAGCTCTCCCCCCCCTCCCTGTTTTCCGTTAGGAACCCGACGAGGAAATACATGCACTCGCTGAGAATCGCCCGCGCCAGGGCGCAACGCTACAAGGTGTAGGGACAGTGTGGGGTGGGGTGAGAGGGGACCCAGGAGTTCCCGTGGCTCAGAGTGCCAGGGCGTCAGTTCTTCATTCCTGCCCTCGGGGCGGACGGAGTGACCCCGGCCCCCACTCCCCGCCCCGACCATGGTAGTGTTCAATGGCCTTCTTAAGATCAAAATTTGCGAGGCCGTGAGCTTGAAGCCCACAGCCTGGTCGCTGCGCCATGCGGTGGGACCCCGGCCGCAGACTTTCCTTCTCGACCCCTACATCGCCCTCAACGTGGACGACTCTCGCATCGGCCAAACAGCCACCAAGCAGAAGACCAACAGCCCGGCCTGGCACGACGAGTTCGTCACTGATGTGTGCAACGGGCGCAAGATCGAGCTGGCCGTCTTCCACGATGCCCCCATCGGCTACGATGACTTCGTGGCCAACTGCACCATCCAGTTTGAGGAGCTGCTGCAGAACGGGAGCCGGCACTTCGAGGACTGGGTGAGTCGGGCGCCACCCGGTCCGGCAGCCCAGCCGTGGGGTCCCTGGGAAGCACGGCCTTGGCATTAGTCATGGGGCGCCGAGACTTATTGCCATCTGGGGGCTCTGTGTGTGTGTGTGTGTGTGTCTCAGTTGCCTTGGGGAAGCATTCTCCATTTCATAGTTGAGAAGTAGGCACTGGAGCAACGAAAATGGGACTTGGAAAGAGGGTAAGGCCCTCTGCCCCCTCCAGACAAGGGGTGTGACAGGCTGCGAGAGCCCCCAGCCACTGGTGCTGAAGGTTGACAGAGAAGCCGGCGCCTTCCGCAGGCGCGTGGTGGGCTGGCTGTGTGTGATTGTGTGGGGGTGGGATCCTCCATCCTTAGAGAGGCACGTGCAGCCCTAGACTGAAGGCTTCGTCCACGTCCTGGCTTTGTCCTGCCTAACCTAGTGAGGAGCTGCTTTATTTTTCCCTCCGGGAGGAAGCTAGCTTGTTTCTATTCTCTTGCATGGTGGGTTAGTTCATCTTCTGACACACAGGGAGAAAAATGTGTTCTCCTCCAGGATGTCTCCTCCAGGGTCCCGGCAGCATAAGCCAACCTTTTTTTGCCCCATGCATCGCCCATGCATCCGGAAGGAGTGTTGTATCTTAAAAAAATGGTTCTGGTTGCTAGAAATTGGAAGTCAGTGCTTCGAATCCTACTTAAAGTTACAATGATTTTCTTGTATTGATTTTCAAGGTACTGTTCAATGAGATACTATTGCTAAGTCCAACATTGAGTTAATTGAGAACGCTGTCAAAATATTAGGGACTTGGAAACAGGCCTTCCTTGTCGGGGTACTATAAACCAAATGCATTCAACCTTGGCACCCAAAGAAGCATGGAGGCCCAACCTTCTTTTAGCTCTTTTTGGAAGGAAGGTGTTAAATTAGGAAATGGGTTTTGGTGTTTTCTGATTTGCTACATGTTTCCACCAAGAGCAGGTGTGGCTCTGGGTGCATATGTTCCCAGGGTTCTTTGGTTGACACAAAAAGAGATATCTCATGGGGAAACAGAGGAATCCTCTACAAATGACTGAAAACAGACCACCTCATGACCGTCCTAGGGCCAGAGGCTGCATATGAACCACCTTGTCATGTCACCTTACATATTTTTTAAATAGGAAATGGAGTCTTAGAGAAAAAGAGGAAAAAGCCTCTTCTCTCTGTGCTCGTGCTGTGATGTAGTCTGCCCAAAACCATGGTTACGGGACTGACAGGGAAGCTCCAACAAACCATATCCAAGATTTGCGGCTTACACTTTGGGAAGCAGGCAAACCTTTATGGAGAACACAGCACCATTCTATTCCATTCCATTCACTGAGGCCCCTTCTTTCTGCCTGCCTCCCACCTCCAGAGTTCCCACTCACTCCCCATTTCCTTTCCACATATGGGCTCTTTGACTCAGGAAAGTAGTGTATGTCTGAGGGGGAGCTAAAGCAATAGCTAATTTCAGGGCCAGAACTTAACACCAAAACCCTGTGGTTTTGAAGTTGTTTTCGAACAGGAAGAGGATGGGAAAAAAACATGACTATAGTCGTGAGGCCACGGGGGCCTTTACTGTGTATGCAGATGAGGGAGATGGAGTGAGGCAGAGAGTAGGTGGGATGAACGGGAAGGCTGCTGTAGCCACAGAGCACACCTCTGGTGGAGGGAGAGCTGTCTGTGTTTGTCCCGTGATGCTTTGCTGGGGCCTGACCGAGCCCAGGGTGAATCGGGGCACCTGCCCCACTTTGGAGCACTTGCAGTGAAACATGCTGTGGGTACCAGCCTTGCCTGGTCAGTATTCTCTAAAGTGCCCAAATTCATGTTGGACTTGGCCCTAGACCAACTGCAGAGAAGGTTTTAGTGGCAGAGAAGTGGAGTGGGTACCCAAGGTCATGCGGTATGCTCAGGGTGACTGGAAGTAGGGCCCGTACTTCCAGTCACCCACAGCTTGCCTGGTGGAGAGCAGAGCCCCCGGCCCTCCCAGTCTACTCTCCATGCAGATTCCTGTGCTATGTCCCTAATGTTTTCACTACAGTGAAATAATAATTTAAATAATTTAAAGTGCTTTCAAAATCATATCTCCTGTGTCTGATAGCAAGTGTGAATTAGGTGCAACAGGTATTGGACAGATTAAAAAAATAAAAACAAAACCAAAAAACCTCCCAAAACCTGAGCTACAAAAAGGCCAAAGTCACGAGATGAATCAAGTAGTGGAGCTGGTTCTGTTTGCTCCGCTAGCGTTGGTTTCACTGGTGGATGCTGTGGCCAATCTGGTTCCTCCAGAAGGGGAGGTTGGTGGGGGTGCATCAGCAGAG